CCTGCTGAAACAGCTTCTGGTTGAAGCATGCAGAAAGAAGGAACCATGCTGAGGCACAGAGAGGCAACGGGATGTGTCCAGGCTCAGTAGCAGAGCTCAGAACTGGAATATTACCTTCTCCTCTTGATCACACCACCTCCCACCATACAGACCACGCTCTCAGAGAGAAGCTGAGCTTCCATTTGTCATTTTTACAGTGCTTCAAGAACATCCACTTAAACACAGAAAGTACTCCAGAGTATTACTGCTACTCTAAGTGAAGCCAACAGCAGCTCTCCGCTGATAAGCTCTGCGGAGCAGATGCCATTGCTTATTGTGGCTTCCATAACTCAATAGGGATATTTTGAAAAAAATCTGCAGATGTGACCTGCAGTGGGAATAAAAGCCAATGTTACCCAGAAAGCTGAGCTAAGGAAGTGTGGCTGGGGACTGAGAAATCCAACCCACCCCATGGTTGGTCAGCTAGAGGTAAGAAAGGCAATGATGTAGAGCCCACATTGTGTGAAACGAAATTTCTTCAACCCTGGTCTGACTGCTCTACTTCTAGTTGTGATTAGTTCCCTCCTGCACGATGCATTGGCCATGCTGTGTGGGGTAAGTGCTGCTCCACAGAGCAGTCGCTATGCACCGCATCACCAGTGTGATCAGGGGGATGTAGACAGAACAGGGAGGATACAAGCAGTTTTGTAGAGCCACAGCTTAGGGCTGCTCCTTTAACCTTTGCCCCTGGCTTAGGAGGAAGAAGGGACATTGCCAAGAAGAAGGGATATTGCCCCTTCCACCAGTCCCCTCCCCCTGTCAGAGATCTGGGCTGCCAGCAGGTCCACACCAATGCCCGCTCAAGCAGCCCTGTCCGCTCCCCATGCAGAGCTGCAGAAGGGGGCACTCTGGCATGTCGCCTTCTTGGGATCAAATCACTTATTGGGATAGGAGTTGTCTGCCTGGGGTTAGTGTCAGTATTCCCTGTTCTCTCCGAGACAGATGATGCACATCATCTTAGGGGACCAGCACAGGGAGGACAGGTTCTTTCTGAATGTCCTTTTAAACCTCTGGGCCATCAGCTCTGAACCTCATGGAAGCAGAGGCACTGGGTGTGTGGTGTACCATTGGCAATGCACCCGCTTTCCTTCACGGTCTCTGCGGGATTCTTCATGCTTGTATCATTGTCCAGGCCAGCACTACTCAGCCCTTTCCGCATGTTCCCAACTCCTTCTGAATAACAGAAACATTTTTGTCCAATCCTTTCCTGCTAGCACCTGCCTTCCTCTGCTATGGGAAGCTGTTATTGTACCCATCACCCCGGTGTCGCCCCAAACACCCCCCCATCACTCTTTTCAGGAAGCTTTCGTTCTTAGTCACGTCCTTTGCTTCCTTGTGCAGGCTTTTGTTGTCACTTTGTCCCCCATTTCCTAGACGGGAACGCCAGGTCCTTGCATGTCCTTATCCTAAACAATTCACTGCTTAAACAAGTTCGGAAAGAAACTATATACTGAAATATGTACAGGATTTCCACAGGAAACTATATACTGAAATATGTACAGGATCTCAACACCCCCTGCCCGCCAAGACTACAACCTAAATTAAAGGTATCCAGTGACCTATGAGGGGCCTAAAGCCACCATAATTATGAAGCTGAAAATCAAATCTTCACTGACAAAATATTAAGCCATCTGAATGAGCCTTAAGTGATTAACGATGAATTACTAGGGAGTCAATTAACTTCCCAGACAAAACTGCTTTGTAAAACTGTAACACTTACAGAGGAACACTAGAAAAAGACGACAATTTCAGCTACCTTATTCTGTGATGCTCCATCACAACATCTCTATCAAAGGCTTGCTGAGCTCAGTACCTGTGGGAATGGGACCACATCCCCAGCTTTAAGTTCATTTCATTTGAGACTTAGAAAAAATGTGGTGTGGATGTCAGCGATCATAATTTAGGACCCAAAATATCCAGACAAAAAAATCTCCCACCTCTGCAGCAAGAATGGAAACAAACCACCCCACCAACACTTGTTTCTCCTTTTCCCATCATTGCTGATTCCAGTTGGGCCACCTGCTTGCACAGCAAGGGATCCCCATTTCTCTGGCAGGAGGAAGGTGACAGGACTGCATTGTCCAAAACCAGGCTGGAGAAAGCAGTCCTTGTGAACATCTTGGCCAGAAGAGGGGAAAACGCTGGCTGGAGAAGAGGGAGGAAGGCTTTACGCAAGTATTTTCTGTCACTGCTTACGCTGTCTGAGGTGGCAGAAGGACAGTACTTGCAAGTACTTTCACTCGCTGCCTGCGCTGGTCTCCAGAGGGTGGTTAAAGACTCATAGCAGCCATCTTTCTCTCATTTGTTTGCCAGTTCACTACATACAGGCAGCAAGTGAAAGCACTTGTTGCTGCATGTCACACTACCTACATTCATGTCCTGCAGTGGTGGGACAGACACCGCATCTTTTTTCAAAGGAATCATGTCAGTACTTTGTATCCTTCTGCTGTTCTCCACTTTTGGCAAACGTTTAAAAAAAAAAAAAAAAAAAAAACCTCCCAAAATTTTTTACACGAACAACTCATGACTGCTGTCTGGACAGAATTAAGGTGTATAAAGAGGCAAAGTCTAGATGAAAATGCTTTTTGATGTTTAATCCCATGCAAAGATGGAGTTTAAACTAGTTTAAGCTCAGCAGCTTAAAGACACATCCATGTGGCTATCAGAGACCCTAAGATGAAAGCTCTGCCAACAGCGTATTTATGCTACGGGAGTTAAATGTACACATCAGGAGAGAGACCAGACCGTTAACAAGGGAACTGCTTTCAGGTGACCCCACAGAGCATGTTACCTTTTCTTAATAAGTTCCAGGGCTGAACCTATGAATTCATCCTTCATTTTTTGTAGCTTAGCTCCATAGCTGGATAAGTCTGTGGCTTCTAACAGCAGCGATGAACAGCAAGAGGACTGGGCTTCAGAAGCCAGCGACTGCCCTGCAAGGTGGAGGACATCATTTAATTGTCTTGTCTCTCCTTTCTGCTGCTCACCACTGAAGATCTCCTGCCCAGCTTTGTGTATTGCTACTGCCTGCAAAGGTGATCGTGGAATAGGGCTAGAGCAAATAGGGACCGGGGATCTATCCGGGCTGGAGATCTCGAAGGTTCTGTCCTTCACCTCAGGGCTGCTCATTCTGAAACTGTCCCATGTGGCTGGATATTGGGAAAAGCCAGCAGAGGTGTGGTTTTCATGGAACACATCATCATCATCCTCCGCTGTGACAGCAGCCTCATTCACAGCTTTGGTCTCCAGAGCTTCTGGACAGAGGCTCTCATTGTTCTCCTCCTCCAGGGTCTGGTTTGCAGGCAGACCCTTATTCACGCATTCTGTTGGCCCACTGCTGGTGGCAGATGAATTTGCGTCCTTACTTCTCATTTGCTTGAATTCCTCAAAGGTGGGTATGTAGAGCCTCCCTTTGCAGCGGCCTTTCTTGCTCTCTCCCAGTGCGGCTTTGACATCTGTTCCCCCACTATACTGTTCCAGGGTTTCTGCTGTTCTGGATTTGGCCATCTCATGGCTTTCCCTGGCATGCTGAAGGAGCAAACTGGGGGAGCTGTTCTGCCTTCGGAGCTGAAGCCTCCTCCGAGCCTCCTGCTTGATGACTTCTGGACTAACGATCCTGTGTGCAAAACACAGTCTCTGCCTCCCTGTGAGGCTGTGCCTGAGAGCAGCGTGTTCCACCAAAACCGTGCAGCAGCTGACAGCACAACCGTTCTTGTACTGCTGGCACATCTGGCATTCAAAAAACTCCTGGGCCATCACGTCAGGCAGTGCCACCTGCGGACGCACTGGCTTGCAGGGCTCTGCCACCTTACTGCTGTGCAGCCTCAGCTTCTCCTTCAGCTCTTTTTTGGCACCCCCGTGTAGGGCTTTTTCCTCCGCTGAAGGGAAAAGCCACTGAGGCACTTTGGCAAAGGGAGGGAGGAGCACATTCTGTGCTGATCGAGGTGTCTGTTTAGCACGGAGAGAAAAGTTTCTCAGAGAGTCCGATGTGCTCTGTACTGGAGCCACATCCACACAGCCTTCTGTCCACTGGCTGGGGGCCCTATAGCGAAAGATGATCTCGTTATCCAAGCTCCGGCAGTGAGAATACAGCCCAGAGTCAGCAACTGTTGACCAGTGTAGGTTCTCCACGCTCCGATACATCCGGTTTTCCACAGGACTGGCCAAAGGTGCCTTGCCTGTGTGGCAGGAGTCTGGAGTGTGGAAGTCCCCAGAAAAAATATGAGTGTCTAGGTTCTTTAGTGGATGCATGCTGCTAACCGAAAAATCCTTTATGCCATGTTGTGCATAGAGCTGATTATTTTGGCAGCTCAGGATCACCCGGCAATGTTCCTGTCTCTCATCAACACTGATGTATGTCATAGCAAATGCACATGGAGGCTCTAAGACAGTGGCGTCTAGGGGGAGAGGAGGGAGCTGGGATGTCGCTTAGATGCCAGTCAATGTCCACAGACCACAGACAGCAAAGCGTGCTGCTGGGTACTCACATAAGAGAGCTCTCACATGGGTTGAGTCGCCATGAGCAGAAGACCTGTGAATGGAAGGAAAGATGAGTTACTGAAGCAGCCTGGTGATGACTCGCAGGATGCAACAGCAGATCTGCTTCCAGGGGACGCAGAAGCCAAACACCAACAGCTCGGGTAGAAACAGAGCAGCATGGCTAGGAGACGAGCTGCGGGGCTTGAGGCAGGGAATCTTTTCCATCTCTACCCAAGCCAACAGTGGCCTTACGCTACCCATCTGAACTTGGAGAAGTTTATCCTACCTACCCTCAGCAATTCCCTCACAATAACACTGCTCAACTCCAGTGACGAACGCTCAGAAGTGCTTGCTGCAGGCTCAGCTTACTCACACAGCAGCGCTAAGTAAGGAGATGGGAGGTTTACAAGAGATAACCAGGTTCTTTCCCTCAAATGGGGAGCAGACAAGAGTGTGGGGGTTAAGGAGAAGGCTGGGGGTGGGAAAGGATGACATGACAGTGTGGTCTCCTGGAAAGCTCAAGTTACAAGGAGGAAGAAGATGGCTGACTGGCGGTGGTTTTGTCCCTGAGAGTCACACTGCAGCCCCTTAATCCTCTGATTTACCCTTCACAGGGAAGAGGCATATGGTTTAGTGACTGGTAGCCAAGCATTTCCAAGGCCTTTCCAGTGCAGACAAAGGTACCTCACAGACTTTCACAAATGCACTCTCCTGACCCCTCAGCAACAGGTCCAACTGATCAGCCCCCATGACAGCTCTGCGGAGGCCCAGAAAGAGAAGGTGTGGTTTCCAAGGCTGTTCCTATGAGCTGCATTCAGCACTGTAAGGCCCAGGGAATCTAAATGACTAAATCACATGTTCTGAGCAATTCAGAGAATTAAATCCCAAAACTTCAGTTTGGGCCAGCAGGATGTAGGCTAAGTCATCCCTGGAAGTGGAAGGAGCCTCCTTACATTGAACGGAGAGACTCCAAATTTCTCTTAATGGTTAGGCCTCATGGACTGGCCAGCAGTCACACAAGATACCAGTGTCTGCTACAAGTCTGTCCACTCCTTCCCTTGGCAACCAGAGGCAAAGGAACGAGTGAGTGCCATGTGTAAAGGAGAATAAGATTGGGCAGAGTATATAGGGTTAGCCTGAGATCCTTTAGGGTGAAGTAGAGCTGGGATGGGGGGGCAAAGGTCTCTAGTAATAAGGCAGGCAAGAACCAACCAAGTTGAACATGCAGGAAGAGGTCTTGGTAAAGCAAGACAGGTCCACATAAGTTACAGCCGAGACTGTTTGCTTTGTAGTGCAGCTGGGTTCTCCACACGCTGCCAAACACTCAGGCAGCACAGCCACCTTGACCAGGAGGGGAATGAAGAGCCTTGCTCCTCCCTGATGGCTAAGACACCTCAGGCATCTAACTGTGCGAGGCACCAACAGACACCTTCCATCTGAGGAGAAGTCTGGGGCAGTGTGTTGTCTGGAAGCTAATCTTGGTAGCTCACTGGCAGCTTGATTCACCCCTTGCTTAGAGTGGTTCAAATTAGCATACTTTCCCCGCGTTAATGAAACTATCTCTAATCCAATCCCAGCGAAGGAAGGTAGAGCTGCTCCCACGGATCACTGCTGAATGGAGAACATTATTTACATCCTTCATAATTGCTAAAAATAAAAATTAAAACTAGCTCTCAAAGTGTGGCTGTTCCCCAAGATGTCACAGGTACTTCTCACCCAGTCTTCTCATGGTGGGGCTGGAGTTCCCCCTTCTTCATGGCTCTGGAGGAGCCCACAGGTGACAGCAGAGAAACGTGAGGATCAGGACTTTCTGTGATCATAGGTTATAACATGATCTGTCAAGAAAGAGAGAATGAGATGATGTGAGAGCCAGTCACTGAGTAGGGAACAGGGCTCCTGGCAGTGCCGAAGGGCTCCTGTGAGAAAGTGCTGTTAATGAGAGATGCCATGGCCTGTCAGGTTGGTCTGTGATCAGGTCACAGCCACGGGACTGAAAGCCACTGTGTCCTTTCCACACTCTGCTTTCAGACCAAGTAGAAAGAGAAAACAATCCTCGCTGTAGTGAGAGCTGAGAATAAAGCAGTCCTTGCCCAAGGCAGGGAGCTACACAGAGTGCGGCCTGAAAAGAAACCAAGGCCCATACGTGAGGTAGGTTCCTGGGCTACACGCTTGCTTGGTGAGCTCTGTGTGTATGCGTGTGAGAGCAGGGGAGCTGGAGAAGAAAGCATACAGGCAAGGGGAGCAGCAGTCACAAGAAGAGCAAGGAAGCAGAGGCACAGAAATGACGGGGTGGGATCTGCCTGTGGCTGCTCTCTTCACCAACAACACGGCACAGCTGAGAATACGAGGGACTTGTGTCCCCTCAGCCCCTCCTCGCTGCTGGAGCCCACAGCACAGCCCCCTCTGTGGGCTGACCCCAAGCCCCTGCCTGCTCCGGTGTGTGGCACAGACCACGCTGGGGGTCTGTGTCCGTCCGTCACAAGGGGGATGCCCCGAGG